CCGGGCCCTCCGCCCTGGAAAGCGCGCAGGTGCGCCAAGGCGCGCGCGCTGAGCTCGCCTTTCTGCAGGCTGTCAGGATGGGTGCTGGGGGGGACATCTTAAGTTTTACTTTCGAAGACTTTTTTTCCCGTCAAAACCAAATAGAATCATCTTCTCGAGCATCTGCTGTGTACTTGGACTGTATGCCGCCAGTGACAAGTACGTGTCGATGTGGGCAGGTCAGCACAGCAGGTGGGAAGCGCACCGCTCGCACACCCCTAGGGCTCTGACTTACTGGTGCCACCGGGTCGAGTGCGCGGTGACAGTGCTACACTCTGAGCTATGCGAATACGACAAGATATTTTTTTCATGTTGAGGCTTCTTATGAAATATGTTAAGATTCAAATGTGGTATTCTGATGAGAGATGAGTTACACGAATTACAAGACAAATTTCTGTGACTTTTTTAAAACACCTTGTAAAATGAAATTTTCATGCTAAAACATAAGCAGATGTGTTTTAGAAGTACTCTTGGGAATAAAGCAAAAAATAAGTGTCAAATACTGGACTTGAAAAAAAATAATTTTGGTTAACGAGCCCTTTACCATGCAACTGTGTACAGGCATGCGATGGCTAATAAGTTCTTGTCATCAAAAGCTTCCCCTTTGGCCACGGTGTAGTCTGTAAAACAACCTACAAAAGACCAACAGTTCGAAAACCCACTGTGAAGTGAGAAGCAAGTGTTAGAGCTCCAAAGCCATTACCAATACCTTGGGCTTTGAAAATTGTTAGGTAGTTGATTTATTAATGGAAAATTCTATTTTCACATTAGCTGTACTTTTTTCTGGGTTTTATAATCCTCCTTTAAAAATCTACCCGTAAGAAACTAATTTCTAAATTTGTGCAGGGTTTTAACAAATGCCCAGATGATGATTTTAATTTGCCATTTGTAATGATGAGTACACTGGACCGTGGTGAAATCACTGACTCGGGTAAGACTAAAATAAGCGTTTACCTTGCACGTTCTTTTAACATTTTGTAATATGGTTGACATTTTTCATTAGTACTTCAACAATTTCATAGCTGTAACACTGTTAAATACAGTGTTAAAAACACTGTTATTTTGGTAGAAACGCATTGATCAAAATCTCTTCATATTTCAGATGCGATTTCACAGCAAGTAAAACTTTGCTCTGAGGTAGATGAACAGGTCAGCTAAGTATAAACTTTGCATGTCTAATTTCTTAGGGCCTCTTAATTTGTTCCAAAACAGTGCAATACTTCAGGGCTAAAGGAAGTAGTCAAAGGGGAATAATAATTTTCTGTCGCCTGTTTAAAGCTGAATCACTTAGAGGAGGTATTTGTGATTCAGTGAACATGCCTGGAGATAAACATTTAACTATTAAGGTGAATGCTAAGGGGTTTGTTTGTTTGTTTGTTTTAAAAAGTGCTTGGGGACTCTGGGAGTTTTAATCAGAGTAAGATTTAGGCACTTAAATATTTTTGTGAAACTGGTTCTGAATAGTCTTTTTAAAGGCAGAAGGATTGAAGTCAGTATTCTTTGGAAAATCAGAGCGGATTATTCCAATTGCCTTGTCTGGCTCTATTTTATCTATAAAACGGTGAATTTAGTGGAGTGGTTTCCTCAAGCATTTGATTCTTCTCATAGCATCTTTACCAATGTTTTGTTTTATTTTGCGCCGGTAAAAGTTTTTTTTTTTTTTTTTTTTTTTTTTGCGCAGTAGCTTCCTGTGCTTCCCAGATACAAAATGCTGTTTGGTGCAACAAAATGGAACGTATGTCTTGCAGTCCTCGTAATGATTTTCATATCCCTGAGGACTAAACTTCTTTTAGCCCTAGCAGCTATTAATGTACAGTCAGGACTGTAATAATATCATGATGCAGCCAAAACAAGGATAGTGTTAGGTGACATCATACCTAAAACAAACTGCAGAAATGCCTTGTGGCCTACTGTGCTGCTCTTACCTGCCTAAACCACTGATCAAGTACTGCTTGTACGGTACTCTAAAGATGTTCTAAGAGCACAAGGTTGGTTGGCTTTTCTTCCTCCTTTGTGTATGAGTTAACTGCAGAAACAAATTGCAGGTAGTCTTGCACAAGGTCTCTGAAGCTGTTTTTACTTAACTCAGCAGTATCTGTCAGAATAAGAGGAGGGAGATGGTGTGAAGAACCTAACGGAAGGCATCTTGGCTCTACCGATAATTCTAGCAAAACTTCTGTTGACTTGAGTGCAGTTACCCATATCTTTAAGGCTATCTATTTAGCAATGTCACTATATCTGAAGACAGTGGGGTATTTTTCACTTGTGTTTGTGTCTCTTACTGGTTCTGCAATGTCTTGATATATACACAGTGGATGCACAAAGATTTAAACTTTGGTTCCTGATAATATATAAGCTTGTGTCACCATCTATGGAAAAAAAAATTACTCTTGCGATATTTCTAAGAGATAAATATGTATCTATCTAAAACATTATTAATTAAATAGCATTTGAGATTAAATTGTGGAACCTGTTTTAATAGAGTAGAGAAACAATGAATGAATTGTATTCAAAACTCTACAAAGAGGCTGAGAAGATCAAGCAGTGGAAACTAACTGTAGAGTCAGAACTAAAGCAGAAAGAAAGAAAACTGCAAGAAAATAGCAAGATCATTGAAGCAGAGCGTAAAGCCGTTCAAGAATTGCAGGCCAGTATTGTACAATATACGTTGAATATGTAAAGTAAAGAGAAAGTTCTTCCTGATTTAGTATGAAAATATTGATCATATTAATTAAATATTAAAGAGTATAGCAGAGGTTGAAGAAATTTTGAACTGTTAATGTGATGACTTCAAAGAAGGCATTTGGCTAGATACCAGTGACCTATGGTTCTACTGTTATTAAAGGAGAAAGTGGCATTTTGGGATTTAAAAATGGTTTTCTTCTTTTTAACAATGTGCATTCCATCTTTGTATTATTTACCTGCACATCATACTGTGGGTATGCAGAAACGTGTTCAAGACTGAATAAACTTTCATCCTCCTGGCACGTGTAAAGTATGGTCATGCATATTTCTGTATTCAGCACATACAGGAAGTAGTGTGCTCTGCTTTATCTCAGTTTCTTATCTCACTGGTAGTGATGGACAGCTTTGGGACTGAAATACATATTTCCGACAACTTATTGGTCCTTCTTTTTGTTTTTGTTTACATTGGCTTTGGTAACCTGAGTTGTCTTTGGTTGTTTGACTTTTGCCTTGAGAAAATGGTTATTCTGAGAAGGGGTGCACACATGTAGTGTGTGAATGTATGTATGAATAACATACCTGTAAGTGTTTCAGTTGCTGGTAAATTATTGTTTATTATTCTGTCTTTCATGCAAACCGTAACAAAAGATGGTTCAGCATGTAATATCAGATAAAACAGATTTCTGTCTTCTAATGCAGAAAATTACTTTTTCAAGTGAGATTTGAGAAGTGAAAGTATATTTCTAGTATATTTTTCAATAACAATGTGGTTTTGTATTTGTTCCCTATGAAATTAGTTTGAAAATGAAAAACTAAGTTTAAAACTGGAAGATGAGATATGTGAAAATAAAGATCTCTTAAAAGAGTAAGTAATACAGTCAAATACATTTTTTGTGAAAATAATTAGCTTTTCATGCTGAGAACTGTATTAGTATGGGAAGTTACATATAGCTGTTAAATTGTACAGGTCATCAGGGCATTTAGGTTGTTACTAGCTAGATATGCAAAGTACCATGCGTTCCTGTGACAACATACTAAGGTTTTTTTTTTTCCCTCTTCTAGAAACAGTGCTTCAAGGCATCTGTGTAATCTGCTCAAGGAAACCTGTACTCGCTTCACAGACAAGTCCACCAAATGTAAATGGAATTTAAATTTTGATTTATGAAAGTAAATGTACTTCTAGCTTTCTCTAAATTCATGAAGGAAAAAAGCTATCATTCTGTTCCAAATACATTCTCCAATTGAGATAAAGTGTATGTGGCTCTGCATCAGAGTGAAATTAGAAGTGAAGCTGTAAGTCTGATACATGTATGTTTGTCAATACTAAATCCAGAGGTTTTCTGAAGTCACTGTGATTGTTTCCTTAAAGGTTACAAGCCTGGGAGCTGTTTAGGTGTCTGAACACCGATACAGGTTTCAGGCAGCGTAAGCAGCCCTGGCCAGCCGCTGGGAGCCGCTCCGGAGGAGCGCAGGGCTCCTGAAGTCTTGTCAGGCCACTGACGTTTTTCAGTCCCATCCAGATACCTTGAATATATTGACATACGAGGTGGCCCTTCATGCCTGTGTTTAGGCAGTAGAATCTACGGTAGTTACCTTTCCCAGCTCTCTTAAACAAATTTCCAGAGTTGGCGCTATCCTGTTTGGAGCAGTTACAGATTCGTTGGGGGAAAAAAATGTCCAAACCCCAAGACACTATGAGTAACTTGCATTGTTCTCACTAAATTGGCCAAGCCAAGACAGCTGGATAACTTCACAAAGTTTAAATTCTTGAGGTTTTAAAATATGTTCTGGACTTGAGATTTTATTCTAGATGAAATTCAGAATTGTTATTATACTCTTTAAAATTTTACTAACCTGATCCCGGATGCTTAAGAAGTGTCTGTTTCTTTTTAGCCTTGCTTCTGCAAACATCTGTGTATAGATATACCGTACTTCTTTGATAGCAGTGTTTCTTACTGTTCTCTTCTATAATTGTTTTATTAGGGAAAAATAATCTCAATTACAAAAATGAAAAAAAAAGATGGAGTATTGTTACAATTATATAATGACAGTTCTGTGGTCTTGGGTATCTTTGCTGATGGGAAGAAAGTCAGTGCTAAACCTTATATTACAGGTTTTGAAACACTAACATTTTTGATGCATTAATATTCAATGACATAATACTGTCAAAATTGATAAATATTGTTATAAAAATTTATCCAAAATTACACTATTCACAGAAAAAGTGAGATTGGGAAGGAAATTTGAAAAGCTGAGCTTTCTTGATGTTTCAATGGAATATACATTTTCTCCAGATTCTATAACTTTTGGCACCCTGTTTCATAATGATTTTTTTAAATAAGAAAAGAGCCTATAATTCCTTTTTTAATTCATTGTGCTGTTTAAGCATAATGGCTTTGACAGCTCGCATTCTTTTTCAAAAGGAAAACTTTGTGGTGCGTTCTTACTTTCATAGATAAACATGAAGGAGAAGAAACAAGACAACTGTATGTGGAACTTAATAACAATGTTGAAGTAAGTGACCTAGCTTGTTAAAAGGCTCAGATGTGATCGAGTTACGTGGATATGTTGAGATACCTGAGTTATGCGCGTATGTTGAGATACCATTTGTACAAAGAACATTCTCTGATAAAGTGATTAGAACCTTCATGTGTGGTGCAGGAAGTCAGCTTTTCAGTCTCTTTTCAAGAATTGTTTTTGTATTGTATGGGCCACATTAATTGGATAAAATGCAACGGTGTTTGGGATGTAGATCCATATGATCTGTGTGAAAAGTATGATCTGCTTAGTGTTAGGTGACTGCCATAACTTCAGTCTTCTTTTTGTGTTCTGTTTCACCTATCTGGTGATTTCACAGAATGGCTGAGGTTGGAAGCATCCTCTGGAGAACTTGCGCTGCTAAAAGCAGGGTCAACTAGAGCAGGTTACATAGGGCTGTGTTCAGGCAGGTTTTGGGGTCAGGTATATTAGGGTTATTCTATTAGATAATTTTATTTAATGTAAAGTGCAATTTAAAATAAAGATGAACAAAGAAAATTAATTTCAATTTTCAGTGTGACACAGAACAAAATTCATTCTGAAAACTGATGATTTTGTGTGGAATAAGAAGTACAAGGTGTGACTATTCCTTGACTTAAAGAGAATCTTTACCTTTTTAATTTGTGAAAGAAGTGCAGTCTTGCCAAATAAATTAGTTCATCATATTTTTGTTATTAATTATTCCAGTGTGGAAGGTAAGACCCTAGTATACTTATAATAGAGAAATGCGAGGCATCGTTGTTTGGGAGCGATGAACTTGATATTAAGCAGAGTCAAGAGAGTACATGGTATAATGGTTAAATATTAATTATAGGTTGTTGTAGCAACTAAGAAAAGCACAACTCCTCCATTGTGTTAGGGATCTACAAACATGCACCAGTAAAAATATTTCATCTTTGTTTAGATCTTGAGTATAGAAATTCTTAAACCTCCAACTTTGAATAATTTAACATTCTGTTAACTCGAAATATGTTTATGCTCTGAATTTTGTTGTTAACAAAATTTCTCCTACAAATATGAATGTGCCTGTAATACTGTTTGTTTATAATCCATAAACCTAATGCTTCATTACTGAAAGGACTTAGGTTTATATGAATGTATATATTGAATTTTATTTTTAGAGAATGATAACGGCATTTGAAGAGCTTCGTGTGCAAGCAGAGAACACCAGATTGGAAATGTGTTTCAAATGTGAGAATTCTGTTTATTGTGCTTGTGCTGCAGGCTTAACAATTTTGTACTTCATAGATTTTATTGCATGCAGTTTCAGGCCAGAAAGATGCTGTCATTGTTTAAACCGTTGGCAACTAAGCACCGCACGGCTGCTTGTTCACCATCCAGCCCAGTGGGATGGGTCAGAGAATCGGGGCGGGGGGGGGGGGGG